AAATGTAAGGTTTTAAGGTTTAATTCTTCAATAGGTATTATAGACTTAACAATATACAAAACAAGGATCTATATAATAATGGTTAATTTTTGATACGCATTATATCAGAACTATCCTTTCATTTCAATATTTTCCATAGATTTAAGATCTATTAAAATATCTTTCACTTCGTTATTTAAGATATTTTTCCCAGAAGCTATTCTCCCTATACCATTTACAAATTTTCTTTAATTGGTGTATGATTCTATATAAATTTCAAATTTGCTTGAAATGTAATATCCAACCAAAATTCTGAATTAAAAAATTTTCTTAAATTCCCTAAGATTGTTTGACATTTAATCAGTTGAGTATTATCATTTAGCTTTCTCTATTCTACATCTAAAATGATGATTTTCTTACCTTTTAAAATTCTAGCAAGTAAACTACATTTCTTTCTCCATCATTTTTCGCTCCTAATATACTTTTGCTGTATCATTTATGTTGATCTATTATGAATTATTGCTAAATCTACATCTTTATAATCAATCCACTTCTATATATTTAAATGATATGCTATTGAATTCTAAAGTTAATTTTATATAAAGTCTCATTAAAATTGAAACATCCGTACGTACGAATAAATTGTGTTAACCCTTACGGAAATATTTAATGTGATATGAGATTGATGTATTTATTCTCTCCTTAAAGTAAGATTTGTGAGGTAAGCAGGAAATTCTATGCATGTTCTATTACCTTAAGTTTATTTTCCAGATCATTCTATTTCTTGACTACTACTCAGTGGTTTATTCTCATTTGCGAAATTAATTCTGGCTCCTTACTGAATATTGGTCAGACATCTTCCCTTCAACTAATGGTAATCTTATTTACTCCTCTTATTGTTTCTTCTCCAGGATTTTAAAGATTCCCTCTATTCTCCAACTCTTGTTGATTGTTCTCTACTACTAAGTTTCCTCAAAGTGGTTGTTTTCGTTAGCTTTTTTCTTCCTTTGCCATTTTTATATAGTTAGACCAGTCCTTTGAAATATATTGTATTCCTTTACTATTCTTATCCGTATATACTTTCTTATGTTCTAATATTCCTATTTATATTGAGCTTCTGTCTGGGAAAGAGTTCCGCTTATGTAATAGGATCCTAGCTTGAATGTTTGATGATACTGTCTTTATGTATCATTCTTTAAGATTCTGATTGCACATTCTGATAAATAGTGACTACATCTAATTAAAAATCGGTTTTCCTCTCCTTACTTAGTAATCCAGCTTTTGGTGTTCTGACGAGGGTTTGGGGTTGGGTTTGGGTTTGGGTTTGGGTTTGGGGTTGGGGTTGGGTTTGGGTTTGGGGTTGGGGTTGGGGTTGGGGATGGGCTGGGAGATTATAAGGGTGTCATTAACTGTAGACTCAGTTTTCCCGTGCGTCTT